TTTCATACAGGTCCTCATGTGGTGGTGACACCCCAACCATAAAATTATTTTCATTGCTACTTCATCACTGTCATTTTGCTACTGTTATGAATTGGGCGACCCCAGCGAAAGGGTCGTTCGAGCCCAAAGGGGTCACGTCCCACAGGTTGAGAACTGCTGCTTGACTAAACAGATGGCGCCAATTATCATATGTCCCTGATCAAGAACCACTAATATTTTTATTGTCTCTAGAATAAATCCCAACCTGTTAGACTACTACATAGAACTTTCTAGTTTGAGCCTGAAATACATCCTTTTCCAGTCTTGTAAATACATCTATTTTCGGTTTCTGTAGTTCAATGTTTAGGGATGTGGACTCTGGAGCCAGATCAGTTTGTCTGAATTCTGACTCTCTTCTGTGTCACTCTGGACAAGTTTCGTAATCTCTGTGCCTCATTAATAAAAACCCTCAAAGAGTAATTATGTATATTAACCACTTTGAACAGTGCCTGGTAATTAGTAAGCATTATTGTGGTTATTATTGCTGTTAGGGGCCATTGAGCCCATTCAACTCCCAGGGACCATTTGAACAGCAGCATGACACTATGCCCAGTCCTGCACCATTCTCACAATTACTCCCAACTGTTCCTATGTCGCGCCCATGACTGCAGCCACTGTCAATCTCTTGTCGAGGGCCTTCCTCTTTCTCTCTCTACTGCACCAAGCATGATGTCCTTCTGATAACATGTCCCATACACGAGATGAAGGCTTGCCACCCTTACTTCTCAGGAGCATTCTTGTTGTACATCTTGGAAGGCAGACTTGTCTTCAGACCTCCATGTCTTTGCCAACATCAGAATTCAAATTTTTAGGTCTTCTGAAGTCTTCTTGATTGTCCAGGTTTTACATGCATATGAGGTGGTTGGAAACACCAGGGCTGGGGTCAGGAACACCTTAGTCCTCAAAGTGACATCTTTGCTTTTGAACACTTTAAAGATGTCTTGAACAGTTGTTTGATTTCTTGACTGTTGTTTCCCTAAGTGCTGATTGTTGATCCTAGTAAGATGAAATTCTTGACAACCCCAACCTAGTCTCCATTTAGCATGATATTATTTATTTAATTCAATTGTGAGATTTAATTCAATTGTGAAGGCTGTAGTCTCTGATCTTCTCACTAAGTGCTTCAAATCTTTTTCATTCTCAGCAAGCAAGCTTGTGTCATCTGCAAGTTAATTTCCAATCTGGATGTCATGTTCATGTGGAATCTGTACGTAGACCAAGAGGCAGTCATTTGGATAAAACAAGGGGATGTGGTTTAAAATCAGAAAAGGCCTGCATCGGAGTGGTTTCCTTTCACCATACTTATTCAATCTGCATGAAGAAAAAGGTGGCATCATTATTAAAGGGAGGCTCACCTGTGATGTGCAGATGACAAATCCTCGCTTGTTAAAGGTCAAGAGGCCTCGAAACACTGACTGATGGTCAAAGACGACAGCCTTCAGTATGGATTCCACCTCAATGTAAAGAAAACAAAAATCCTCATAAATGCACTGGTGCAGCTAAGAGCTTGCAACACAGGGAATCCGGGATAAACCCCTCAGGACCAATAATGAAAGTAACCATACCAGGAGGGTTAGGGGAAGGTGGGCGGAGAAAGGGGGAACTGATTACAATGATCTATATATAACCCCCACCCAGGGGGATGGACAACAGAAAAGTGGGTGAAGGGAGACAGCAGTCGGTGTAAGTCATGAAAACAATTTTTAATATAAATTATCAAGGGTTCATGAGGGAGAGGGGGTTGGGGAGGGAGAAAAATGGGCTGATACCAAGTGCTCAAGTAGAAAATGTTTTGAAAATGATGATGGCAACAAATGTACAAATATGCTTGACACAATGGATGGATGTATGGATTGTGATAAGAACTGTAAGAGCCCCCAATAAAATGATTAAAAAACAAATCCTCATAAATGGACCAGTAAGAACAGTAAGCATTAGAAAATGTACTTTATTGAGCAAATATTTGCTGGTACCTACTACGCACGAGATGCTCGTCTAAAGCTTGGCGACAAGAGGAACAAGACAAACAATAAAACTGTCTTTCTAGAGCTTATATTATACAATAATTATTAATTGTCCATAGTCCCCTATTCCTGGAAGGCCTTTTTTTCCTGTGTCATTTTCTTAAAAATTTTACTCTTTTATAGATACTCACTGAAATGCCACTTTACCCCTTAAATCTTATCTTGTACGATACTTTCATTTTAACTTATCTAGCCCTTCTACCTGTATCGTGGCAGTTATCACATTCTACACACTGTATACTGTATAATAGTTATATAATAGTTACTTTATAGTGGAGTTCAATGCCAGCAACTATGCTCTATTCTCTTTCTAAATTAGTGGTATGATTTACATTGTACTCAAGCACATAGTAGATGCTTAATTACTTCTTGAACTCTTTGCTTGCTCATTCATTTACACTTTACTAATGAACCTTCACTCACTCACTAACTCGGGTTGATCCAAACTCATAGTGACCCCTATAGGACAGAGCAGAACTGCTCCATCAGGTTTCTGGGAGTTCAAAGCTTCATGGGCATGGACAACTTGGAGCAGACAGTCCCATGGAACAAATAATGGATTCAAACCTAACCTTTCTGAGCCAGAGTATATAAGAAAATTTTAAATGAATGCTTTTTTTAAAAGATCATTTTATTGGGAGCTCTTATAACAATCTATACATCTATGTATCAAGCATATTTGTACATATGTTGCCATCATTATTTTCTAAACATTTACTTTCTATTTGAGCCCTTGGTATCAGCTCCACTTTTTTCTCTCCCTCCCCCATGACCCCTTGATAAATTATAAATTATTATTTCAGATCTTTCACCGACCGCTGTCTCCCTTCCCCCAAGGTTTCTGTTGTTCATCCTCCTGGGGGAGGGTATGTGTGTGTGTGGCTATGTGTAGATAACTGAAATAGGTTTTCCCTTCCTCCCCTTTCCGTACCTTCCCCCTACCCTCCTGGTATCACTACTCTCATTCCTGTTACTGGATTCCGTGTGTCATGAGCTCTTATCTCCGGTCTAGCCCAGAGGCTAGAAAGGCAGGACTTGGGTCATGACAGTGGGGGGAAGGGAGTGGTGGTGAGGAAGCCTCAAGGAACAAGAGGAATAGTCTGTGTTTCATTGGTGCTATACTATGCCCTGGTTGATTCATCCCTTCCCTGTGAGGGGATGTCCCATTGTCTGTAGATGGGTTTTGGGTCTCTGCTCCAACCCCCCTCGTTGTTTGGTGGTCTTCTGATGCCTGTTACTCGATCTCGTCGACAGCTCATGATCATACAGGCTGATGTACTGCTTCCATGTGGGCTCGTTGCTGCTCTGCTAGAAGGCTGCTTGTTCAACTTCAAGCCTTTTAAGACCCCAGATGCTGTATCTTTGGATAGCTAGGCACCATTAGCTTTCTTCACCACATTTGCTTAGGCATCCATTTTGTCTTCAGCGTTCATGCCGGGGAGGGTGAGCATCACAGAATGTCAGGTTGTTAGAACAAAGTGTCTTTTGTTGAGGCAGGGCTAGAGCAGAGTATGCCAATTTTAATATTTTGGTTTACTATGCATGTTCTACAGCATTCTTAATGCTCCCATAACCTTTGAAAAGAACTTCTACATTTTTACCAAAGGAGCTAATGTGGATAGAGTACATTTCCTTTGTTGTATGTATGTGTGTGTGTGTTTTAAGGTTAACACAGAATTTTCTCATTTCTTTTCTAATACGATTCAAACTTTCCTGGGTATTCAGCTTTAATTTTTATGGTTTATTATTTTTTTACTTTTATAGCTTCTAAAATCAGACTTTAGTTTTGTTTTTTTTTTTTTCTGTCATTAAGTCTTTCCACTAAATTTGCTTGTTACTCTTCAAGTATAACCTGTTAGGAGCAGATGAATGACAGGTTCTCTCCTAGCTTCTAATCCATGTTTTCTGGATCCTAAAGCTATTTGATCCAAAGAATCATACAACGGTTTCACTTACCTTTATGCCATATCATAACCATATTAAATCATCTTACCTATTCCTGTAATCCAGAAAGGACGCCATCAGAATGCACGTCAGTCTTCCCTTTTATAATAACAAGGCCAAATAACACATTTTTAAATAATGATCAAGTTTTTTTTTATTCATTAAGTTTCAATATCATTACAGAAAATGTTATGGTACAGAGTTGTTTAACATTAATTTTTCTTTGCTCTTAATTTCCACATGAATGCTGGTAACACTAATATCTGTACAAGATCAGTCTTTGATTTTATTTTTTTGTTCTGTACAATTTTTAAATGTATTGGTTAAAAAGGCTGTCAGCACTTAAGGAAGCATTTCCCCCCCCCCCCCACCCAGTTTATTCAAAGAAAAGGTTACTGCCCAAGAGTACTGTGCCACGAGGCTCCTGGGGTGAGAAACCGCGGGGTGCTCTGCGGGGCGGTTCTCCAGGAGGTGGGGCAGGCCTCTGCCCGACAGTCACTCTTCTTATGGCACTGTGCACAGAAACACGGGAGACGTGATAAAGAACAAGCAAAGGCTCTCTGTAAAGCGGTTATGAAGCGTCCTAAGAAGGGAAATCCAAGTGTTGCCTACGCTAGTATAAATAAGCAGACAGCCTTGATTTAAGAGCATAAGTAGTTGTATTTTAAAGATGAGAAAAACACAAGTTCTGCAGGCACCTACCGCTGTCTACTAAAAGCTATCGCTATCAGACCTAGCATTGAACACACAAAGCAATTTGCAAGAAAGGAAAAATTTGCTTTGATTTAATCAGAATAGAGTTGTCTGTTAAGATTTGTTTTTAGGTGTGTTGTCTTTAAAAGGTATTTAAATTCATTTGAAATATAGTTCAAGATGTTGACTATACAGATCAACTTTTATCCAAATCAGAAAAACTAGCTGTGCCGTTGCATATTACAGGATACAGTCAATGATATGTGGACATGCATCGAAGCTTTCTCCTGAGGGTGAACATCATAGCCGCCCAATGACCATGACATCTACCACCTCGCCCTTGTGGAGCTCCACGTACTGCTCTGTCTTTGGAGGTAGCATCAACAACCCATTGGCGCTGCGCATGCTCATCAGACGGCTGCTCATCTGATTACCTGGAAAGAAAGGCTCTCATTAGAGCAGCACAGGCAACAGTTGGTACCTTTGGAGCTGCTAGGGTGCTTTCCCAAGTGAAATCCCGCAACAGAAGTGTCCGTAGGCCTCGGCGATACAGAGATGATTCCATTTCCAACCATCTTCTTTAGGTATATGCATGACTATCTCCTACCACCTTCTCACTAACACTTTAGAAACAAGCATTAGAATTATTGCAGACAAGAATAAAAGCAGGATTCCATAGCATTATGAAAGATGCCACGACTTTCTCTATTCAGACAAAAATGATTTGTGTCTCAAAAGACTTCTAGGAGCTATTAAAATAACAATAATGACCATAACAGCAATTACAATTTATTTAGTCTTTACAGAGTACCAAGCATGATAGAAGACATGAGTTTTTGAAAAGCCAAAGAAGATAATATGACCATAGGAAACTTGTCTATGGTCCTAGTAACTAGGCTAGTTAGTAACCAATTTAATGCAAGTGTTTTTGATGACTACCAAAGTGAGAGATCAAAGATTGAGGTATTAACTATAGAACTCTAAATTATTTTTAAACTTAAATTTTACTATATTACCATGGCAAATATATGCCATATACACTCGTGTATAAGCGGAGTTTTCCAGCACATTTTTAATGCAGTTTTTGTGGTACAATTAGGTGCCTTGGTGATATTTGGGTCGGCTTATACTTGAGTATATATGGTACATCATAAAACACCATTCCAACATTTTCTACCTGTGTATTTCTGTTACATTAATTACATTGAGCGTGCTGTTACTGGTATTCTTTAAACCCATCAGTATTTGGGGATACTGTAGGATGAGAGGACCGCATTCTACGATAACTGGACTGTTAGCTCACATCTCAGTGTGTGTGCTGGCACGGCCACGTTACCTTTGTTCTCTACAATTACAGTTATGCACAGAAGTCAACAGATGAACAATCTATATATCTGACAGAACATGCAGACTTAGTCTCTACAATTTTACATTTGTGATTTCCATTGTTATCTAGAAAATAAAGGAGGCTTGGTGACAGAGTGGGTTATATAATGGGAACACAAGGTTGGTGGTTCAAACCCACCATTTGCTCTGAGGGAGAAAGCTGCAGGTTGCTGCGCCGTTAAGACGTACGTCCTCAGACACGCACTCGGGCAGGTCTACTCTGTCCTGTAGGGCTGTTAGGAGAGGAATTGACTTGATGGCAGGCAGTGTGAGTGAAATCTAGAAAATATGGTTCAGTGAAATAACTCAATTTTCCTTTCCTTTTTCTTTCTTAAAATTCTTGTCTTGTTATTCTGTAATGTTCAAGAATCATTTATATTATCTGACCAGTATCATAATTTAAACATTAGGCATACACAAGGAGGGAGATTATATATAAGTTTGTGTTTAACAGGATAGGTGAGTCGGATGTTTCAGGTGTGAATGACTCACCTGTACTCTGTGCCCAAGGCAGTGGTTCTTGATGATGCCAAGTTAGGATACACCGGTGGTATTCTGGACGGGGATCCAGTTTCACATCACATGATAACTACAGAGTGAAGAGAAGGCAAATGGGATTACCTGAAAATCTCTCAAAACTACACGGTGATGAGAGTAGTGATACCAGGTGGGG